AAGGAGGCACAGGACTCAACCAGGAAGACTAAGTGCTTGTACTTGAGCCTCCGCAGACGCCAGCGAACTTCCTGTTCCACTGACCGCAGCTCCTTGGAGATCTGAGGAATCACTAGTGTGTACAGGCTTCGAAGCAGCTTCACAAGGGTCACATGCCAGACAGAAGTTATCTGCACAAAAGAGGACACGCTAATACAAAACAAGTTCCAAAGGTGTTTAATATGGCCATTGTGAGCAGCTCCTCCCCCCTAGCCTCACAGGACCTGTTTGCTGCGCATGCTCCTGCAGCCTCCAAAGAACTCTGTGCTTTACTAGAGGAGGTCTAGGTAGTCTGCCATTGCAAGAAAGAGTTCTAAGTGTTAACAGAGATTCCTTAATACAGATTCAATCTATGTGGCTGGCATAGCCATGTGGTGCATTCCTGAGCTGAAAGCTCAACAGATAAAACACAGGTCAGAGAATGTGGGCCTTGCCTCCAACAGCACCAGCTTTCTGGCCAGTTCTGTAAGAGTACTACTTTTGTTTATAATGACATATTTTTAGGTATTGGAGAAGAAAACGAAAATAAACAACCCCACAGTTTTTCTTCAGAAAAATTATTTTGAGCCTGTAAGGCTCCAACCCTTCTACCATTCTTTAACAAGTTTCTGGTGATGTGGTATTGTCCCCAAGTCTCAGAATAGAGTCCAGATCCTGTTCTAATGCCACCTGATTATTTCCAAAGACACTGATTCTTCTGTGGATGGAGTGACTCAGGTGTTAGGAACCAAGAGCCCACCATCAGGGAGGAGAGCAAATAATGTGAGGTGTGATAATGACTGTCATTACTTGTGCCAAGTCTCTGCACCTCTGAAAGGGAAACAGAAAGCCCGGCGGAAGGTGAGCTGGGAATGGAGAAGCTGCTATCTGAAGGGCTGAGGAGGCAGGGCAAGGACTGCAGTCATTCTAGTCCCTGGGAGGTCTGGGTGCCTGCATCCAGACCACATCCACCTAGATAAGTCCATCTCACCTTTGTGCACACACAATGGGATTAGTGTAGCGTCTCAAAGAACGCTGGTGCCTCACACAGGAAGCAGTGCTCTGCACTAGGGGAGCCTACTCAGAGACTGTGGGACCTCTCAGACCTCTGTATTTCTAGACAGAGGCTTTAGAGCCCCAGTTTCCTTTTTTCTTTCTTTTTTTTTTTGTTTTTGTTTTTCAAGACAGGGTTTCTGTGTAGCCCTGGCTGTCCTGGAACTCACTCTGTAGACCAGGCTGGCCTCGAACTCAGAAATCCGCCTGCCTCTGCCTCCAAAGTGCTGGGATTAAAGGCGTGTGCCACCACCGCCCGGCAGAGCCCCAGTTTTCAAACCTGGGCAGCAGCAAACCCCATCATCATTTTACATCTTAAAGACCCGGTTTCATACCTCAGAAGATAATTTAGATGGTCAAAGTATTTGCAGTTAAGCCTGGTGGAGGAGAAAACTGACTTCTATAAGGTGTACTCCGACTTCCGCATGCACTCCATACTAACACAGACAAAATAACTATTTAAAACCATAAAACCTCTTTGTTTCTACTGTCATTGTCTTTCAATTCTGTAAAACAAGGTTTAGTCTTATATTTTAAGACTTTATCTATGGGAACAATAAATAAAACAAAAAATCACCAACACTCAGAACTAAAGTAAAACCTCATAGACTAGGGGTTTATTAAGTTTATTTTATGAATTATATACTCAGGAAGAAACAAGTAAAATCTGACTTGATGTAGTGTAAGCTATGTAACATACTTAACTATGAAAGAACAAGAAAGAGTTCTTTCGCTGGGCGGTGGTGGCGCACGCCTTTAATCCCAGCACTTGGGAGGCAGAGGCAGGTGGATTTCTGAGTTCGAGGCCAACCTGGTCTACAGAGTGAGTTCCAGGATAGCCAGGACTACACGGAGAAACCCTGTCTCGAAAAACAAAACCAAAACAAACCAAAAAAAAAAAAAAAAAAAGAAAAAAGAAAAAAAAAAAAAAGAAAAAAGAAAGTACTTTCTGTATTATCTCGTTAAAAATAGCCACATCTTACAGTGATTTAAAAGTCTACAGCTTGTAAAGCATTTAGCACAACTTTATCACATGGAACTAGGAAGTGAGGGCCAGTTTGGCCAGCGCAGGTTTGTACTTCCTCTTAGCTGATAGAACCCAGGGACAGCTGTGTGAAGGAGTCTTTCCTCACACTGGACACAAACTGGCTGTTGTTGAGCAGGGCTGCAGAACCACACAGACAGGCCCTGAATGTGGAAAGAATGTAGTCCTAGGTTTAGGGACCCTCCATTAATTATACTGCATCTCCTGACTTCAAGACGAAGCTCTACTGTTGAGAGGAAAGTACCAAAGTACTGGAAAGGACCAGGGTCATCTCTACTTCTGATGCCAGGTGTTGGGCTGCCTGTCTTTGATTTACTTAACAGGCTCCTGGGAGGATAAACAAAAAGCACAGCAATGTTCTTTGAAAACGAGAAGAAATACCAAGAGAATGCCTAGGGGTAGTGGTGCATACTTTAATCTCAACACTCTGGAGGCAGAGGCAGGTGGATTTCTGTGAGTTTGAGGCTAGCTTGGTCGGGGGGCGGGTGGGGGAAATTGATCAGCAGTGGCTATTTCCCCCCATGTACATGGAAAAACTGCTCACCTGACTGTCAACTAGCCTGACAAGCTGCCGAAAGCGAGCATCCTCTACAACCAAGGCCTTTTCCTTTGGCTTCTCAGACAGGAGGTATGACAGCCTGATGAGTATGTGGGCCGCATGATTGTGGTGCAGGCTATGATCACCGCCTAGCAGTTCCAGAAGCTCCTCTGGTCTGGTGGCTTTCTCAATGAGGCAGTCCACCTCTTGGTGCTCTGGGTAGGGAGTGAACACCTGCTCTTTCCCCAACAACTCTGTCAAGGAACCCGATGAGGGGGAACTGGCGGAGGAATTCAAAGTCTTACAGGCCACTCCAGCAAGTCTCAGTCGGGCAACTGGAGCAACGGTAGGAACTAGGCGGGTAGCTTCTCTAAGCAGGCAGGTGCACTGCTTCATCAGGCGAACTGCCATGATGGTGAGGGCAGGGAAGAGGGAGGGAGAAAAGACTCCTAGTAAGTGACTCCAAAGTCCTGAAAAGAAAAGGAATATTACGTGAACCTAGAATGAAACCATGACAATGGCAGCAAGATTCGGTGATCTTAAGCAATTGGCCTCAATCTTTTCTGTTTTAACACCCATTACATCTCAAACAGCACTTTCAGAAGCGCAAGTCTGGGAGCTTCTGCTTCAGGATAGAGTGGTCAGATAGCTCAGCTCAGCATTCAGCCTGGGAGGCACCCAGCTTAGGTGCACTTTCAAACTCCCCAGGTCTTCCCCAACTCTTCCTTGATACAAATCTGTGTGTCTTACACAGTGCTACGTTATTTTGTTTCTAATTTCAAAAGTATCCAGGATCAAAAAATTATTGGCTTAGATATTCTAAGAATGATTTTGGGAAACTTAGGATACATAACTCATGTTCCTGAAACTCCTGGGAAAACAGGAGAACAAAACTGACACAGGAGTGAGACTCTTCCAACCGCATCAGTTAGGGTGCCTCAGTAAACAACCGGAAAAAAGTCACCCTTTCCTAACTTTTGAATTCTTCTTCTTTTTTTTTTTTTTGGTGGTGGTGGGGGTAGAGAGATGGCTCAGCAGTTAAGCAGTTAACTGCATTTGCTGTTCTTCCAGATAACCAAAATTCAGTCCCTAGAACCCTCATCATGTGGCTCACAACTGCCTATAATATAACTCCAGCTCCAGGGATCTGACTCTCTCTGGGCCTCTATGTGCTTGAATGTGTATCCACACTCATATATACAGACATACAATTAAAGAAAAAATCTTTTAATGGGCTTAAAAAAAAAAAGACTACAATTACTTTATGTAACTTTTAATCCCCTTGCCTCCACCTCCCAAGTGCTAAGATTATAGATATCCAACCACTCCTGGTTTTATGCAGTGCTAAGGTTCATCTAGGTCTTCATGTGAGCTAACAAGCAGTTCCAACTGACTCATACCCCACAACCCTTAAAAGCAAAACTCACAAACCGAATCGATTACTGGAAACAAGCCCTACCACCACCCAGAGTCCCCGCCTTGGCAATTTTAACCCAATCCCTACAATACAGGCTCCATTCCAATTATGCTTTGCACTTGTATCCCACAGTGCAAGACTTGCTACTGCGTTCTCTGCCAATCACAGGGCATGGCAAAACATTGCCTTTTTCTAAGTCTTGTAAAATGTTACCTTCTTGGAGCACATGCTACATATCCACATGACGTTTCTTTCGACAATTCTGCCAGTCTTGTTCTCTAAGGTGAGATAGGAACCAGATAAGACGAGTTACTGGACCTTGATTCAACTAAAGCAGAAAACACCCTAATTTTTTTTCTGCTTCCGGGAATCAGGTATATGGCTAGCTTATTTTATTGTTACGTGAGCACATTACTGCAGCTGTAAAAAAGGTTGGCTTAATTATACTTATAGGGAAATACAATATGGCTCAGAAGGGGGTCATCTGCCAAAACTCAATATCCATCACTTACTGAACCCAGTCAGTCAAGAAGCCCTGGCACATTATCGATTTCCAATACAACTTTAAAAAGCAATTTAAGTCAAGCCTGCGATTAAGTAAATATCAACCCTGTAACCTAAAATGCAGAAACAAGAAAAGCGACTGGCGGGGGACGCCAAGGGTCACTGCGGGCAGCGTAGCTTCCCCAGCTAGGCCTCGTGCCCAACGCCGGCCGAGGGGCGCGTGCGCAATCGTAGGCCGGAACCGAATTTGCAACCGGCCAGCGCCCTTGGGTCACAGTGTCAAAAGCCCCTTTCCTGGCTCCCCCCACAATAGCCCCGCCGGTCCTTACTAACTGCTACTCCTTCCCAGCCACCCTTCCAGTCTCAGATACTCACGCTTAGAAACCCAGTCTCTCCACGACGCCAGACTGGTGCGGCGATCACCCTCACTGACCTCCATCAGCCGTACGGCCTCCACGCGGCCCGGCGCGCTCACGTACGTCACCGGTGCGCCGCCGGAAATTAGGTGGTCGAGTGCTCTCGGAAGGAAGCCACGCCCTCTGCTCGTTCCGGGCAGGCGTAGTCTTTGCTGAGCTCAGTCTTCCGGGGTTGGGAAGCGTAGTGACTGTCTGGTAGTGGGAAACTTAGACGGGAAGGAGAAGGTGAATTCTGGAAGGCAGGGTATGTTGGACCAGAATCTCTACTTTTGTGATGTTTGGGTAGCGACTGTAATGTCAGTCCGTTCTGCCCCATTCCCTTGGGCTTTTCACAGGTCCTGTAGGAGAGGCGTGAGTTGGTGCCGCGGTGGTGGCTTCGGGGTTTGGGGCGGGAAGGCGTTGGTTGCTAAGTGTCGACTAATTACAGAAAAGCGAGTTGTAGCTCCAGCTGCAGGTTTTTTCGAAAATGCAAACAGTTTGTCTAGATTAAACAGCTAAAGAACAGACCATATACAGTGTCATAACTATAAATTCCTGTAATCTCAATAATGGAAGCAGGGGTCTGAGGGCTAGCTTGTACTACTGTCGAGGCCCTGCTTCAAGAAGCAACCCGGCGTGGTGGCACACACCTTAAAATCCCAGTCAGGAGATAGAGGAAAAAGGATCTTTGAGTTCGTGGCTAGCTTGGTCTACATATCGAGTTCTGGACAGCTGGGGCCACCTAGAGAGACCCTGTCTTAGCACGCCGCCGGCAGGACTGAAGGAGATAGCTTTGCCCAAAAGAAAACAAACTACAAAATGTTGGGTAGGATGGTAGGGCGGTGAATTTTCCTTGTAATCCCAGTGCTAGGGAAGCAGAGACTGGATATCTGGGACAAATGTGTATGTGTGCATGAGGAGACCACAGGAAAACGTGGGGAAATTTGTTTCTTCCGTTATGTGGGCTCTGGAACTCAGGTCAACTGCCTTTACCCCCTAAACTATTTGTTTTTCCATGTAGCCTTGGCTGTCTTGGAACTCAGTGGGTATATCAGGCTGGCTTTGAACTTACAGAGAGCCCCCTCCTTCCTCCTCTCGAGTGCAGGATTAAAGGCATGGGCCATCACTGCCAGATTCCCACTAAGTTATTTTGCTGGCCCTAATTTTGTAAACAAGAAAAATTTAAAATTTTTCCTTAAAATTTTTTATGTTTGTAAGAGTGCATTGCTCCTCTTATTTTTGGCTAAAATCACTCTGGTTCTTGTTTAATAAAAGATTGCTGAATTACCCCGGGAAGCTCCTCTTGCTTTAGCCCCACAGTGGGTAGGACTATATTGTCACACTGGGTTTACCTTGGTTGTTCTTGTTTAAGAGTCTCATGCTGAATTAAAAATTTAGCTCAAATAGGTCAAGGATATATAGATATAAAACTCTTAAGGGAAAACATATTTTTACTATCTTGGATTAAACTGTAGTTTCTTAGGATACCAAAAGCAAAAATGACAAAAAGAAAAAGAAAAAGATAAAATGGACCAGAAAGGAAATGAAAGGCTGCAGTGGTGGACATACCACTACACCCAGCTGAGGATGTTTAAAATTCTTAGTGGCGGGACTGGATTAATGAAATAAATGCCTCAGTGGTTAAGAGCTGGCCATTCCAGAGCACCCTGGTTGGATTCTCAGCACCCACAGAGTGGCTCACAGCCCTCTATAACTTCAGTCCTGGGGGATCCGACGACCTCTTCTGGCTTCTGTTGGTGTTGCAAGGTGGTGCACACATATACCTATACACACAAAAAAGTTAATTCTTCACATTTTTATCAATAAGCAACTCCTAATTTAGATTGTCAGAGAGTGACTGGAGAGTTGATTCTTTCTGCTCTTTCTGAGCTTAGCCTGACTACATAGAGATTCCCTATCTCCTCTATTTTTCTTAAAGCCTATAGCGCCTGATATTCCCAGGCAGTCTCCCATCCAGGTACTAACCAGGCCTGACCCTGCTTGGCTTCCAAGATCAGACGAGATCAGGCACGTTCAGGGTGGTATGGCCACAGACAGCCTGTCTCCTCTATTAACTGATATTGTACCAATGTACAGGTCTTTGTGGTCACTGAAACCTGAGTAGAGTGGTATCAGCAGGTTATAAAACCTGTGAGCATGGGCTTCCCCTGAATGGGTTCCCTGTGGTTGTAGGCTCCTGATGACTGTGGTGTCCTCACTGAGTTACACTGCTATCCTCACTTACAAGTTTTGAGAAAGATCTTCCCAGAGCAGGATAGAAGGTGACCTATGTCATGGAAGCCAACCATCCCAGGCGACTCAGTGGTGGGAGTCATCTCTGGCTTCTTAGTTACTTTTCTATTGCTTTGTCAAAACACTGGGACCAAGAAAGCATTTAATTGAGGGCTTGCTTACAGTTTCAGAGGGTTAGTCCATGACCATTATGGCAGAGCTTGGTGCCAGGCAGGCAGGCAGGCAGGCAGGCTGGCAGGAGGAGTAGCTGAGAGCTCAAATTGGTCCTCAAGCAAGAGGAAGAGAGCAAGAGGATAAATGGGATTGGTAGGGCTTTTAAAACCTCAGAGTCTGCCCCTCCCACTCCATGACACACCCCTCTAATAAGGTCACTTGTCCTAATTCTTCCCAAACAGTTCCTCCAGCTGCAGACCAAGCACTGGGATATGTGAGCCTCTTCAAACCACTTTAGCTGGTAAAACAGACAAGATTCCGATTGATGAAGACACAGGCTCAAGCCAAGAGAGTGGACCTAAGTTTCCTTGTGAAAGGGCTGACCGTCCAGTCTCATGTATTCAGTATAAAAGTATCTTTTATTTACCCAATGTAATTGTCTCAGAGGCTTACTGCCTCTGTTTGCTAACTAGACCTAGTCTTGGAAGCTTCTAGCCTTTGTACAATCTTATCTCAGCCTAGAATGTTTTCAGCCTCTGAAGCTTACTGTTGAATAATCTCACTCTTTCTAGGCCTTTCTGAACTCTGGCTGGCTGGTCAACTCAGCTGTTCTGGCTTGGAACTCTCCACACGGACTGACTCAAACTGGTTTCTTTCTTGGCCTCTTTTTGCTTTACTTGGACTCATGCTAACTTTGACAGTCTGTTGTAATCTTCTAGCTCCTTCTCATTCTCTGGCTTGTTCTTATCTTTGTCTAGCTTGTTCTCTCTGCAATCTATCTCTGTACAACTTCACAGTAAAACTGCCTCCGTCCTTTTCTCTGCACTGCCCCTTAAGTAGCTTCCCTTTCCTCTCTCTTCTCATGAGAGTTGGGCTTATCCTATTCTGTCAAATCTTTTTCTGATTCATCACTTTGCTACTCAATTAGATAGTCATCACTTTCAAACATGGGTGCTTTCTTCTACAAACTAACTTTACCTTCATTGTTTGGGATTAAGAGCATGTACTAAGGGGGCTGGAGATGGCTCAGTGGTTAAGAGCACTGCTCTTCCAGAGGTCCTGAATTCCCAGCAACCACATGGTGGCTCACAACCGTCTGTAATGGGATCTGATGCCCTCTTCTGGTGTGTCTGAAGAGAGTGACAGTGTACTCACATATATAAAATGAATAAATAAATCTAAAAAAGGAACATTTAAAAAAAAGAGTGTGTACTAAGAATGAGTCTGCATTTCAGCCAAAGGGATTAGAAGTTTGTGCTAAGAGCTGCTACACCATAACTAGAGACAGGTTTTCCAGTAAATAACACAACCTCAGGGTTCACAGTGTGAGCAAATATTCTGCAACAGTTCATTGAAGGGCTGGAGCCTCTGAAGACAGAGCACCTCCACTCAGGATTCCTCAAAGCTGTGAACCACCCTTGTCTCATGCCATACCTAGTCACAGTTCCCGGGAACCACAGGCTAGGCCAGGTGCCAGAGGTCGTGTAGCCCCAGGTGGCAGAACTGATGGCACCTAGAAGTAAGGGAATGGGTTCATTTTCTCTGCTAACTAAATAATTCAAAGGTAGGAAAGATGTGTTATTGGGGATCTTGGGGAGCCCCAGGAGAGCCATTACATGGCACCTAGGGAATCAGGCTTCTTTCTTAGGGTTTCTATTAATAAAATAATTTAGGAACACACACAAATGGAAGCCTAGGACAATTAGAGTTCAAAAAGACCCAGGGCAGGACAGCCATAAACCTCAAAGCTGTCTGGAGGAGAGCTGGGGAATGGAGAAGAGCCATGCAGCTTGAGCTGGGCAGTTCACAGGTCAGCCACCAGGTGGCAGGCATCATGTGATTGGGAGCTAGCGCCATGCAGCTTGAAGTAGGGGCTCACAGGTCAGCCACCATGACAGGCAACCTTGTGCTGGAGAGTAGGGCTTTAGGAAAAGAACAAGTTAGATAGGGGATTTCAGATGGACTTTGGCCAGTGTCTTCGTTAGGTTTCTATCACTGTGATAAAAACCATAGCCAAAAGCAACTTGTGGCGGAGGGAAGGGCTTACATTTCCACATCACACATCATCATCAACGCAAGTCAGAAATCCATGGTGGAAACTGGAGCAGAAGCCATTGCTGGGGTTGGCCTTGTGCACAGTGAGTTCTGTGACCCAAGATCTCGTGGTAATCTGGACATGGGCATTGTATTGACCAATGTGCTGTAAAGAACGCTTCTTAAGGCTTTCCCTGACTCTGTTGCCTGCCTGTGGATGCTGTTCTTCTAACTAGGCTGCCTCGTCTGGCCTCAGTGGGCAGGATGTGCTTAGTCCTGCAGTGACTTGAGGGAATAGAAGGAAGGACCACTGTTCCTGAAGTGAATGGTGTGGATGCTGAAACTGAACTGGATTTCAGCTCCAGGCACAGGACCCACTGAGTCACCTGAGCACACAGCAGCCTGTGGAGCTACGACGCCACCTCACCTCAGACCCAAAAGACAAAAGACAGAATCACTAATGCTTGACTGTCCTTTCTATGCAGAAAGATTATTTTTTAGAATGGAAACTATAGGACCAGCAGTATAAGTAAAGGCACTGAAGTGACATGTTCAGTTGAATGGAAGATTTGAATCACTGTGAGCCTGTACTCACTAGTAAGTCAGACAGCCTCAAAGGTGAGAGAGGTACCACCGTCTGGCATGGGAAATGCCATTGTCAAACTTAATTAATAATGAATTTTCTCTCAACTCTTTCTGGGATATTAATATATACATACATATATATCATAATATATATTATATATTAATAAAATATATTGATATATTAATATAACAATATTGTGGT